GCGCCGCCCGCGCACCCGCCGGGCCGCTCCCTCGCTCCTGACAGGGCGCCTCAGCTCACCGCACCAACGCCCGCCCTGAGCAGCAGCAGCAGCCGCCACCGCGGTTACAGCGCCGGCCGCGGCGGTGGCGGCAGCTGGGCCTCCGCGGAACGGGGCTGCTGAGCATGCGCACGCCCACCGCCACCCCCGCCCCCTCCTTCGCCGGAGTGGAGCTGGGGCTCAAATTATCCCCTGCGAAAATCTCAGACCACGGCTAAATTTCTTCCACCCCTATCGCCCTGCTAGAGTATGCAGCTGCTTCTCCTGCAGCTGGGGTAGTAAAAATGTTGACGACTAACAAGGAGCAGGAAACCTTTCAAATTCGGTCACCAAAGCGGGGTTTTATGCTCTCACCCTTTAATGAGGTACACACACTCTGGGCTGCAATAGTATGGTCGTTGCTTTATTAATGTGCTTTGTTTTGGATAGATTTGGAATTGGATTTGGCTTTTGAAAAAAAGAAAATCGAGGCAGCGATTATGTCTGTGGCAAGAAGATGACAGACTTAAAAAATGTACTAGGAAAGGGGATAAAACTAGAGAGGGAAAAAACGAATTATTTCCTGGGAAACTGTCGGCAGCATTAAAGCGTGGCCATGGCAAGTAGCTGCTAGAATGGAATTGGCTGCCAAAGGGGAATCGCTCCAGGGCTGGGTGTCTGCCCCGACTGGTGACACGGCACCCCTAGATTCAGTCTGCACGTTGGAGTGGGTGGGGATGGGGACGGGAAGGAAGATGGAAGTAAACACCTCGCTGTCACTCATTTCAGAACCTGTAATCCTTCTTTAATGCTGATTATCCAGTAAGTAATCCCCCAGGAGCTTCTCTACTCTCACAAGGGGAAAAGAAGGAGGGGTGATGAACTGTTTGCTCAGACCTTTTCGCTGCTTCCCTGACACAATCTCGCTTGGATGCTTAGAGACAAACGTCTGGTTCAAGTTTGAAAAAGAGAGAGAAAGAGAAAGATTCACGCTGCAGGTACTCTCCCGGAAAGTGCGTTCAACAAGAAAAGATGGATGGGAAGCAGAGGTACTTGATTAGGAAGAATGTTGGAAAATATGGAAACTAGAAAAAAACGAAAGGAAGGAATGGAAAAGCATAAAGACTAATTCGAATTCATGGGGTGGGGTGGGGAGGGGGGACACTCTCCTGGGTTAACGACTACCCTCTCCTGGACCCAACGACGAGCCACAGGAAAAGCTACAAAGCGTTTTCAGAACTGATATCAGAAGTCCCCGCCCTCTTCTTTGTGATTGGTCGCCTTCTGGTCAGGGAAATTCTTGTCACAGTATTGGCTGATGTATGTGACAGACCTTCAAGAACAGTCAGCAAAACAACTACGATTGGGGCTCAGGGATTTCGGGAAATGTAGTTTTCTCTGAAGCCTCTCCATCCAAGGACGATGTCCTACACTTGAATCCTACAAAATTGTATTGTGGTTTCATATTTACTGAATTACTCAGTTAATTTGCTGGGTGCAAAGAACAATAAAACAAATATAAGGATTTTCTTAAGGTATTTCTATGTGCTTCTGAAGTTTTTGTTTACTAATTTAGTTCTCTGAAAACTATTGACTATGAGATCCTGTGCTGGGTACTGAAGGCACAAAAATGCAATTCTTGCTTTCAACAAGCTCATCACAATCTAAACAAGGGAAACATCACATAAATAATTATAAAACAATGGGATGAGTTAATTGATACAATCATGCACAAAGAGGACTGAAGGGGGAAATTTAACCCTCCAGAGAAGGCCTGGAAATGGTGATACCACAGTTGGGTCCAGATGAATAGGAATTGACCAGGTGAAGAGGAGGGAAAAGAAGTACCTGGAGAGGATTTTTAAAAAACACTAATGCCTCCATAGGGGGTAATTTCCAAAACCAACAGATTACTTTCCCACGGAATTTTATGATCCACCTTTTCATCTAGGTTGAAAATAAATCTGTTGGATAATTTGTCATCATTGGTTTATAAAACTCTACGGAGGTGGGACAACTTCTTGATGAGAGGCCGTGTGGTGTAGTGGGAAAAACCTGGGCTCTGCTATCTGCTGGAGGTGAATTTCTATCCAGGCCTTGGTAATATGTGCAACCTTGGGCAAATTCTTTATTTTTCCTAAGGGCCAGGTTCCTCATGTGTAAAATGAGGTTAACACTACCTTCTTCCTAGGATTTTGTGAGAGTAAACTGGAAAAAAGTGTAAAATTTGCACGACATTGGTTAGCACTCTAGATACTCAAAAATGTCAGTTTTCCCATTCTGCTATCAGAGCTCTTGAGATGAAAGGCACTTCAACAGATTTCAAACTTAAGCCAGTTCTTTATTTTTCACATTAGAATTTTTCTTTTGATTTCTGTACCTCACCCCTCTCATTAGATTATGAACTCATCCTGGCATTTCCAAAACTTGGGTCTATAAAGGACACGTGGAACTAAAGATGAATATGGAGCATATTGTTAATGTAAATTAGCTGTGAATTTGCAATAATATCCTCTCCAAACTCAAGGAGATCAGGACATATCCAAAATTCTATTATGTAAAAAACAATAATGCCCCAAATATCTACCTTTATGACAGCAAAGATAAAATAATCAATGCTCAAATTCATATTTCTTGCAAGTCGGTTTCTATTAATCAATTGATTTTTAAATTAAGATTGAAATTTTAATAATTTAAATTAAAATTAATTAAAAATTTTAAATTTACATTAAAATTAAGATTTAATAATTCACATTATTCATTTGAAAATTTAGCACATAGCAGATAGTTTTACCCATAATAATCTCTCAATAAAGTTTTATTTATTTATTTTTTATTTGTTCTTTTTAATAATGAATCAGTCTGTTGACTCAAAGCAATTCGATAGCTTTCAGCCTTTGGATAGGTGTCATTCTCCCAAATGGAATTCTTTCTTACCTGCTTATTGAAGAACGGACCAGGATCTGGTGACATAAAATATACGCCACAGACAAATTAGAGATAGCTATATTACATTTAGCTGAGTCAGGACAGCTTGAAACAATACTTGGTTAATACAATAAAAATTAAAAGTAAAAGAAAGAATCGACATATGAAAAGAAAGGCAGCTCATTAAATTATTTGGCATGGAGGGACAAAGACCAAAGATAGAGAATTCATAATATTTCTGAATCTGCCAATCCTCATTATCTTGTTTAAAGTTTACTAGGCTAACTAAGGCTCTGTTATTGGTCTCATAGGGTCAGCTTAATGCTGATTGAGGAGAATAAAGTAGAAACTGAAAAATATTTTAGTGAGAAATTATGTTCTTGACAAAAACTTTCTGGAAAGTAGACCAAACCTATCTCACCTGCTAGCATTCATTTATATAGAATTAATTGCAGTTTATTGAATCCCAAAGGCTGTATGCATGACAATAATTGATTCACTACACCGTTTAAAAAATGTTCAATTTAATTTATTTGTAAATTTCAGGAGAGAAGTTAATTAGTTTGCCTAATTCAGGTCCCCTTTTCTGAATGGGTCCCCTACTCCCTGCTGAAATGCTGGGGCTTGGGCACCTGTGTTTTGATCAGGTGACCATGTGCCCTGGTCCAAACCAATTGGATCAGAGACAGACATCCGAATTAAGCTAAATAAAAGATATTCTGGGAATTTGGAATTGAATTACAAAGATGCTAATTTGTCTGAACCAGGAAATCATACAGAGCTGGGATGGAAGCTGAGAGCGCTCATACCTAGATGAAACATGGGAGAACAAAGCAGACTCACAAATTATAGAGAAGTGACTCTAAGAAGGTGAAGAGTAGTCTCCATTCTTGACTTTCCAGTTCCTAATCCTTATTCCTATTGAAAACTGTCTATACCATCTTTGCTTCTTTGTATTAAACAAGTTTAAATGGGCTTCTGGTTCTCGCAAATATTCTGACAGAAATTTAGGTAAAACCTGCCCCCAAGTATAAGGAACATGGAGATTTTGTAGCCATCTTTCATTGCCACATTGCCCTTCTACCCACAATTCTCCCCACAAAAGGCTACTGCAATAATCTAGCAAGGAGTTGGTGGTTTAGCCTGGAATTGTTAAAAGTAGTGATTGTAGTGCAAAAGGGTCAAATTCTAGATTATACTTTGATGGTGAAGCCAAGAGGATTTGCTAACTATATGGGAGGTATCAGAGAAAGAGACAAGGATGATGCCTCAATATTTGGCCCGAGCACTTTGAAGGGTGGTGTTGCAATTTACTTTTCACATTTATGGCTCCTGGATAATTTCCAGTTACTATTTGTACCTGAGTGAACTTAACAAATATCATCAGCTAAATAAACAAACCTCGCCTGGGAACAAGCAGGATCCACTACATTGTGATCTTATTTGTCAAGCTCTGGCCTTTCTAGAAAAACAGATTAGGCAGATATTAGTGATACTCGTTATTTCAAAGATTACCTCTGTCACTGTTTAATATGATTGGTGAAGAGTATTATTAAACTGTCCGAAAATGGGTAGATAAAAGGCA